ATATTTCAACATTATTATTTGAGCCAACATGTCATGTGGTCTGTTAGACGTGCTGACTTATAGACCTGATACAAGTGTTCTCATCAGTCGGGCAATACCCTTCGCCTTTAGCCAGTCCTCTCGGGGCGCTCAGTCCCCTATATTAAGAGTAGGTGACGACGAACATTTTACACTGTATGTCAAGCGAAATTATCACTGAACACACAGTGTTGTACACTCGATTGCTCTTAGCTGGTATCGCTAGTATATCATACCTTTAGTTTCGGATGTCTTCTTAAGACCACGCTCAAATTTCAACATATCTCATAATTATTATTTAACCGTAAAATGTTCGTCGTCGCCTACTCTTAGTATGGGGACTGAGCGCCCTGAGAGGATTTGCTGAAGAGGAAGTGTACCGCCCGACTGATGAGACCGTCAAGGTCGAGCCAAGTGTATCGAGCTCTATAAGTCAGCCCATGTAACAGACTACTTGACATGTTGGCTCAAATAATAATGACAAGACATGTTGAAGTTTGAGCGTGGTGTTAATAAAACACTCGAAACTAAAGGTTCATCCATTAATAAAGAGCAAGTAACGATCACTGGGTCACGATCACGTTCATTACGCAATCATCCTGAACAGGGGCTAGTGCACCCTCGCTCGCGCTACAGCAAGTCTTCCACTTTTTTCGGATTGAAGATTCGGTACCAGACTTACCTTCAAGAAGGCTACCCGAATAAGCAATGTGAAGCGTTGCAAAGCGGCTTCCTCATCATTAGAGAAAGAGTGAACCAACATTCAATGACCTTCGCGACGAAGGTAAGACTATTTCAAAGAGAAACCAGACCTTCCCCTAATTATTTCTGTGAACTTGGTGAATAGTGGGTGCAACAGGATAAATAGGATACAAGAAATTCTACACAGTGCGACAGATGTCATGTCAAATTATGAAATTGATAACACTACTTGTATTGCTTGTTTCTCTACTTGTGCATACTCAGCTTATTTTCCATTCGTTCCTTCGCCTCGCAATCGTAGTTCATGGTGGTGTTATGATTCGAGCATGTTGACGCGTGCAAATCTCATACCTATGTAAAACTCGGAAGACACGAGCAGAGTTGATTGACTTGGTTACATGCACAAATGCAAAACATGTTGATTGTTTCTATAGCGGAAAATTAGATCCATGTGAAACCCATTCTACATCTCTTTTTGTCCATCTGCCGTCCGTACTTCTTACTATATGACCAGAGCACCTATAGCTTACCATCTTTATGTACTCTCTGAGTTCGAAAGATGAGATGGATTTCTAACTACAAAGCTTCACATTCCGCATAGATTTTGTGTATACCGAGTGCTCTTCAATATGTCGCTTTAACGCTCTGTGGCTAGTGTGTAGAATATCAGATATGGTTGAAGTACCAATTCACGTCGATGGTGTACAACACAGCGTTAGGAAGGTCTTCTAAGGCGAAGCGTGCTCACAAACTGTTTAGTCGTTTAACTGTGGGTGGCTTCCTCAAGAGGCACGAGTGCTGCCCATGACGCTCTTCTTCTTTTTCAGTCTAGTCTCTTGTTCCCCATGCTCAATAGCAGTTCAGCACACTTTGAGTCCATCGGCAAGCATCGTACAGCTTTTGGTCGGGTCTTGTTCTAACTGCCAGTTATGTAGGAGAAAATTTTATCGGGAAAATCCTTTTCGCACAAGTTTTTTTTCTATTTTCTTAAACGATGACAGCAGCCCTTTTCCAGCTGATGGCTGAGTCGAATCTTGGTGTGTAGGAAGTGATGATCAGAACCCGTACAAAATCAGCGAACCACCTTCTACTTGTAACGATGTGCTCAATGTCCGAACTTTCTTCTAGAAGTTGTGCTGCATTCTTTGACAATCCGATTTTTATCAATAAGTAAACTTGACATCACCTGCTCACTGTCGCCTGTTCCTGAATCTGTAAATGATTTGACCTTCTTGGATTTCTTCTTTTTCTGAAATTCGTTATCTTTACGTTTCTGTGACGATATGCTTATCAAGAATTGTGACCATCATGAAAGAAAACTGAGGGTGAGAACACGTCACGCAATAGGCGGTAGGGATGGAGGATTAAACGTGACCCTAAGGGCGACAATAAAGCTGTACTAGGAAAAACGAAAGGAGTGTGCGTCTTCGTTGATCACTGTCTCAACTGGTTCGTACTCTCATAGCAAGTAAGAAGCGAACGAATGCTCACAACACAGCACGTTTTCTCATCCAATATTGTCGCGGTGTGGCTAACCCCGAATAAGGCGTTCGAAAAGCTTCAACACCCTCGACACACGTGTACTGCGCTCAAGTGATAGCAGAGGGGAAGAGCAAAAGGAGACCTATTACCACAAACTAATAGCCTCACGCTGATAATTCCAGAGTCAGCCTCATTGCAGAGGGCATAGAGGAGAAAGAAGCTTCCACAAAATGAAATAAGGTTCTAATCTTCTTTTTTTCTACCTCTCTCTGGTTTTACATCTCTGTTCTTCATCTCTGTCTTGAAAACACCTGCGTGCTCACCTTACCAAACCTACCTCCCGCACCACACGCAGTTTGCAAGTTACTTTTCAATATGATGCAGCAGAACAATAAAAGGATAAAAGAATAAAGCTCTCGGCGTTGATCAATCCTTGAGGGATGCGGCATGCATTCGTCCTTGAATTTTCTAGCTTCGTTTGAGGTCATTGAATGCATATGTGGCCTTCACAATGACTCGCGGTGGACTCCCACTGAATCGAGTCAGTGCTGCTTATCCTCCCAGACAAGTCTGAGACCAGTCTGGTACCAATTTACGACCCCGGAGGAATGGGCAGTTTGGTGAGCCATGAGCGCGAGATCGAACCATTGACCTCGTGTGCGCGTGGAGCACCTTTAACCACTGCGCCGCATTCGCTCCAGCAGAATAATAGATTTGTCAATTGATTACACAATACATTACTTTTGATTCTGGAGTGTGAGAAGTGTAGTGATAATTCCCTCAGGAAGCTCTTATTTCTATATTATCGTATATATCCTATACTGATCATGATTATTGGAGCGCATGTGGCGCAGTGGTGAGAGGTGCTCTGCGTCGCACAGGAGGTCAATAGTTCGATCTCGCGCTCATGGCTCACCAAGCCATCCATCCCTCCGAGGTCGGTAAATTGGTACCAGACAGGACTCAGACTTGTCTGGGAGGATAAGCAGCACTGACTCGGATCAGCGGCAGGCCTCCGCGAGTCTTTGTAAAGGCCAGATATGCATTGATTCACCTCAAACGTAGTCAAAAATTGAAGTCGAATGCATGGCGCATAATTCAGGGATTGATCAACGCCGTGAGCATTATCCTTTATCCTTTTAATCATGATTATTACTGACTGTATACACTTTTAGATTGTAGTTGTACGAGCAGATCGGTTAGAATGCTGCATATCGAGTTCGTAAGATGTTTTCCACGTCTGCATCATCAGTTGGGACGAAGATACCTTACCCCATCAGAATGCTATATGTGTACTTCCATAATGCTTCCACGTTACTTCTAACAAAAAGAGCTCTGCTAGACTGTACCTTCTTAGAACCTTTCTATGAATATTGTTTTTAATTCTATCAAACTCCACTCACCACAGAAGAAAGCGGCCTCACGCTAACTCTAAGAGACAATTATCATACCTGATGAAAAGTGCTCATGTGGAAACTTAACAAAACTTTCTAGGCTTCTGTGATTATCTAGATTAGCAGTGCTTAAGCCTGCTGGCAGTCGTTTGAAAACTTTATTGATGATTCGAGTCTTGGGTGTCAAAAGAAGACCTACATTTCCGACTTTGTAGATGGATAGCGAATGGAATGAGGTGTTAGCGTGGAATTGATGAATTCCTGAACTGTCGTCGACTCTAGGTAAAGTGTCGGTGATAAATTCACTCGACGACAGTTTACTACTTTTCGGCACTCGAAACCCTATAACAAGGGGCGAGTGACCGTGAAAACGGCGCTGATAATGGCGAAAGCGTCGAAGTACGCGTGTCTGCCGAACTTTTGCTACGGATGAATTTCTAAGCAAACCTTGAAAAGACAACTGAAAACATCCTCAAAGACATATAATTTGTTAACCTATATGAGATTGATTACTAATCTCCAGTGCAGCCAATATTGCGGCGACAGTTTCACTCTTTTACCGCCTCGTCGATTTCAAAGTGAGGGATCGTGAGCCTCACTTTCCGCAAGAGATAATTGTTCACATGAAGTACTGCATATGCAATGAATGAGTTAATCATGGTTTCGAGAAGTTAGCCGCAATAAACATATGATGCTAACATCGCTCAAGGGTTTTGTAAGATTGTGACTGATGAACAGTGAAGTAAAAGAGATTGACAAAAACCTAGAGATTAGCGGAGAAAATCAATGATGAGTAACTGCAGTTTTGATTGTGTGAATATGAAAGGTAACATGAAGTGAAACGCAGCTGACTAGAAAACACTTGAAGAAAAATATGAATGACATACCCCCATTGCCACGTTCTCTCTTCAGTTTGCGGCTAAAATGAAACTAACTCATTCATAACTAGCATAGGTGATACAACATACTACACATAAACAATGCGTTATCACATTGAACTTGTTAGTGATTATTCCTTTCCGAAGATTTAATTATTTGTGATCGAGAAGCAGAGGTTGGGTTGTTTCTAGGTGTCTATCAACACGAGACTAGGTGCAGCGGATTACGGACGCGTCTTTTTGATTTTGTGTGCCACCACAGAGGTTTTTCAGAATAATTTTGTGTTGGGGCGATAATTTGTCAAATGTAGATGTATCAGGCAGTCATGCACAACTGTTGAAAATCTGTTTTCTTTACCTAGTAACTTACGAAGAACGCCTTCTGAAAGAGTTAACATTGTGGCGACAAGTCGAATGTTCTTCAGGTCGTTTTGCGCTTGACTCGGGATTCTCTGACACCTCAAGAGGGCAGATCTCTCTGTAGAGCATTCGCATATCATAGAGAATTGAGTGGTGAGCAGAAACTCGATCTCAGGCGGGAGTGGAACCCGCGTTTCACCCATATCGAAGGCGCGTGCTACCATCACACCACCGGAGCAACATTTCGTTATCACCCATTCTTCAATGTCTCTATCACAGCTATCGGCCACCAACCTATAACAAATTTGGTCGCGTAAGCAATATTGCTTTATAGAAGCATAAAGCATGACCCATGGGTCTAAAGCTGTATGCTTACCGAGCGAATTATATCGTTGCGCCAATGCCATGACAGAGACACGGAAGAATGAGTGGTAGCGAAATGGTACTCCGGTGGTGTAGTGATAGCACGCCTCCCTGGCATGGGTGAAACACGGATTCAACTCCCTTCTGAGATTGAACTTTTGCTCACCATTCAATTCTCTTAGATATATTTGGAGCATCATAACACTGCGAAAAAGCAATACAAACATTAGAAGTCTTGAGTGTTCGCATATCAATCTAATAATTCTATTGCGATATATTCTATTGAGGCCGTTAGTTCATTATAAGCTCTTGCGAATACTTCGTTTTGCCTCAAGCATCTTTATTTATGTGTGAGAAAAGTTCTTACACCTTTTCTCAAAGGACTATTCCTTAATTTGTCTTAGCAGAACTTCGCCCACCATCGAGCGAATATAAACACCATCTTCAATTACTTTTCATTTTGCTCAACAATGTGTTACACTTCCATCTCCTTATGTTCTCAGTTCACATAACAGAATTTCCGATGCTAACCTACTACTGATCATGTTGTCTTCGCTCATTATCTTGTCTATATATCGTCATGTTGTATGTAAAGGTTTAGTGACAATAATTTGAATTCTGGTTCTGTGGTGATAATATACGACCCGTGTGGCAAACGTTTGAAAGGCGAGCATTCTTTTTGAGCCAGTGACTCTGCTAGCCAGCTCGAAGAGCTACTTTCTGATGCAGTATACATCAGCAAAAGAGAGCAGGGTAAGTAAAGCCACTGAAGAGGGAAGAATGACTCCACTGAGCTCTAGAATACGAATGCGACAACAGTAGTCTTCTTCCGAGCGCATCGATGACAACCAAGCATGCCTGACCGATTGAAGTCGGTATGTTTTCCGACACAATTCCGCATGTGAGATCTCAAAACGTCCAGCCCCGTAGGGGACTCGAACCCCTGACCGTTAGATTAAAAGTCTAACGCTCTACCAAGTGAGCTAACGAGGCTCATACTAGTTCATGCTTTCACGTCGATTACAATGCTACTTTATGACATGATTGAACACGTAATGAATTGCTCTTGTACTAGTGACTCCAGTGCGCACTAGAGTCATCAAAAGTTATTGTGTAAAGTAGCATGACGCTTCAGGGTAGCGCATCCATTCCTAGAATTGGCTCAAAGACTCTCGCCTGTTCAACATGTTCCCAAATCAACTCTGTGCAGGTTCACTGCAGTCTGGATGAGTTTCAAAATTAACTGCGTTACAAGGATCGGCTAGAAAGATTAGGTAATCAAGAGCAAAAAGAAGTACTTTCATCAACTCTCTTTCCGCGAGCTTTCTACAAGGAAAATCATCAAATGACGAAATAGACCTTGCTTTTCATTTATTTCGGCCGTAGTTCTCCAAAAATCTATTTATCGGCATAAGAGGTTAGGCCAACCTTACACATAAGTAGAGGCGAGATTTACATCTGGTCAGGGGTCTTATAGAATCAAAATCTATCCCACTGTCTCTCAGTGATAAAGATGGGACTTCGTATGTATTCTTAGTCGATTGAATTTTCAAACAGTGGAAAACATCTCCAGCAGATTCCTCTCTACCAGCCATCTTCTAGAAAGGAATGTAAAGCCAGCACCAAAAATCAATCAAGCAATGGGGAAATATGGCAGAGACTGCGGGTTTAGGAGCCTCCGTTTTCTCCCGACTCGAAAATCATTAGCCAATTCGTTCTATCTCATACTTACTTATCGAAAACATAAAGTAACTTCTGCTGATGATCTTGCATCGATCGATCGATCAATATTCAAGGCTAGACTTATCAACAGCTGTGTATAGGGACCAACGGGTAGAGTAACGTAGTTTCTAAAACCCATCCTCATTCAGGGGCTCAATTCTATATGAACCCATCTACCCGATTGCCAAAATATTTTCAGACCACCTACAGTGCGCGCAACCAAACGGCTCACAAGTACTTAAGTTACGTAATGTTGCGTTGCTCTATACCAAGCCATCAAATGACTCTACGTTACAAGCTATTGCCGATCCTCATAAAAAATGAGCGAAATATTATCTAAGGCCTGTCCATTCAATAACTAATGGCCCTTGAAGCATTGTCTTAGTTGTTCAATTTAGGCGGGTGGAAAAATATTTCACACAAACTAGGAGGTTAGCTACGGGCCAAGAATTTGGTTCTCGACCACCGGCTTTTACTCTACTGCCGATATATATGCTACTGCTTCATTGTCTCTTCCACACAAGAGGAATGGGCAAATGTTCCGAAGCCTCAGATGAACGCTCAAATTGTTTGCAATTCTGCACTCCGGCATAGAGTAGTTAATATACATGGTCGGTGCTGGCGAACGAAATTACCGCTGGCAGGCCTTGTTTGTGTTCATTATCCCATCGTGAGTTGCAATTTTGAGTTTCTTGTGCTACGAGATTTTTTCCATCGATTGTGAACATGTATTTCTGTATACTCAATCTACTTTGGGACGTCATCTTTGCTTCCCATCCATCGTGCGTTTGTAACCTTTTGTGTGCTTAGATATTTCATCACACCGTAGGATCACTGTAGCTCTTCATGTGGCACAGTCCTTGTTGATGATCCGTATATAAACCTGATTTACAATCGAACAGTACACTTGGTAGTCAGCAGTTAGGAATACTTTGTTCCTAACATATCTCCCAAGCTTAAATCGTCGCTCTTCCTAATGGTCTTGCTTGAAGCTTCTTAACAATGAAACTGAACCTTTGACGTGTTGTGTAGATAAACAAGGGCAGGTTACTTCAGTTGCAATCATCTCCATAACGTCAGAGTCATTTGCGAACACAGATCATATAAAATCCACACAAGAAAGTCCAAGCGGGAACTAGCTTCTTATGAAACATGAGAACAAAGCTCTTAGAAAGTTGCTGCAGTACAAAAGCTCCCTCAAACCAAGTAGCAAGAAAGCACAACACATTAACTATCCTCTCATCCTTCACACATGGATAAGCACTTATCAAAAACATGAAGCGAACAGCTAGAGATATGTGCTTAAGTGAAGAGAGGAGGAAAAACTGCTAAATTTAGCACAAAAACAGCTGTTTCCTATTCAAGTGGTCATGAAACATCAATCACTCAGGTCAGCTTGAAAGGTGGAGTTAAGTTCCAATACAATACCTCGAGAGCAAAGAAGATCTCTTTTAAGATCCCTTTATATCGAACAAAGTTAGTAGCGCTATCAGGCGGTGCTCAAAAAGAAGTGGTCATCAAGTTCTGACAGGTATTAAACTTCCAACTTCCAACCTGATTCGTCAACTAGTCCGCAATCGCTTCTAGATCGTTTGTGCAACTCAGAAAATTATACAGTTTTCCCTGGCATGTCCTAAGAGTGTATGATATCACAATTAGGACAACGAAATTGAAATAATGAGCAAGAAGATTTTATGGACAGGAAATCAGTGGCATCAAAATGGAGTGGATGAGAGAGAGAGAGAGAGAGAGAGAGAGAGATAGAGGTAACAAAGAGACAGAACCGACGGATAGAGCCTAAAATGGCAAAAGCCTCACAAAACGCACCTTTACGCGGATCTTCTAGAATGTTCTTCAAATTGGCAGATCAATGGCTTCAATTTTGTGATAAAATTCCATGCAGAATTCTATCAACGAGCGACTTACGCCATGATTTCATCATGCAGATTACGCACCCGAGATGAGAGAAGTTTGAGACTTCCACCTTGAAATGGAGTCGTGAGTAATAACTAGTGCCATTAATGACAACCGTCCTCTAAAACCAGTTGCAGGTTGGTATACGTCCTCCTTCGTGACTGGCAACTCATGGACGACTCAGACACAGTCGTTACGTTTTGGCAGTCCCAAGTAGAAATCTTACTAAAGCAATGATGCACGACTCATGTGACTGTCATATCTTTGTCCTGAGCATTATTCATAGAAAATAAAAGGATAAAGAAAGCTCTTGGCGTTGCTCAATCCCTGAAGGATGTGCCATGCATTCGTCTTCAATTTTTGACTTCGTTTGAGGTGATTGAATGATTGTCTGGCCCTTACAATGGCTCGCGGTGGCCTCCCGCTAAGCCGAGTCAGTGCTGCTCAACCTCCCACATAAGTCTGAGACCTGTCTGGTACCAATTACCGACCGGGAGGGATGGATGGCTTAGTGAGCCATGAGCGCGAGATCGAACCATCGACCTCGTGTGCGAGTTGGAGCACCTCTAACCACTGCGCCACATGGGTCTTTGCATTAATCATGATAGCAGAGTATTCAACTTACGTTTGAGCAGTTTGGTGAGCCTGAGTGTCGGATCGAACCATCAACCTCGTCCACTTGTGTGTCTAAGAGCATCTCTTACCACTGCGCCAAACATACCCGCTCCTCTGTAAGGGAACGTTTTCCATGAAAAAGCCTCCATCTCTCATTTGTCTCTCATTTAACAAGTTACGTGGCCTACAGTACTATCTCTGTAATAAAAAACATTAGCTATTCTCTATCTATGTTGAGTGTAAATTCGTGGTCAACAGAGTTCGACCACCGCTAATCCCACTTACCTTAGCCACAAATAGTTCGAACCTTGCCGATTCTCTAACAGTCTGCGTCTCCGCCGTCTCCATTGTCATTATGGAGAGATCGATATTGATCTGCCCATTTAGTCGCGCCGAGTCGAGTATACCATTTTGAACCAACTGTTAATCGGTTGCGGCAGCTGATTCCTGGATTTAGTTCCACTGGAACTCCAATATCTCTGGTGCCTTAGCCGAGAATCGAACCCGAGTCATCCACTGCGCAGTCGAGCTTCGAACCGCTCAAGCATCAGTCCTTCTTTCTCCCCTATACGAAACCCCTTATATCTGCCTTTCTACAGCAGCATACTCTCTCTCGTCCTAGAA